AAAAAGAACTCTTTTGATTTTGTTCGTTTTTAATTTTTTTGGGTAAATTTTTGATTTTGTTCGTTGAGGTAAGCAAAAGCTACCATTCTCTCCTGGAACGTAAGCAGATGCAACCGGTGCCTGGCGGTGGTGGCAGCTCCGGTGGTGGTGGTGGTGGTGGTGGTGGTGGTGAACTGAGTCGAGGTGGACTCACCCGGTTCCGTTCAGTTCCAGCCACCTGGTTAGACGCACTTTTTGAGGAAGACGAAGAGGACCCTTTAAAGCCCAACCAGTGTTTGACTCAGCTTCTCACTTCCCCTACTGTCACGCCTGCAACTCGTAATTCGGGGCCGTTTGCTACCTCCGCAGCCGATCCGGGACTGTTCGAACCATCTGGTTTTCAGAGGCAGAACAGTTCTCCAGCTAATCTTATTGGGAATTCTGATGGGTACTTCTCTAACTATGGAATTCCGTCGAATTATGAGTATTTATCTCAAGGTGTCGATGTTTCTTCCCCAAATAAGCGGTCGAGGGAGGCCGATACTCAACACCCATCTGCAAAGTTTCAGTCTCAGTTGGTAAAGTATTTAATCTATTCTAAATTTGGAGCTGATACAGTTTTTTTGTTCTTGTAGTTTTGTTTGATTGAATTCATGTTTTTGCTCTCTTTTAATTGATGTCAGAAGAAAAAGACATGTTTAGATATTGATGTTATTTGAATAAAAGTCAACTATGCAAATTGGGTCTTATTCCATTTAGCTATTTTTGGTAATAATTTACTCCATTTAGCTAAACCATATGAACTTGAGTTCATATATAGAGCTTCTAATTATCATGTCTTTTTTTTGGATAGAAAGGTGAGCAAAGTGGAACATCAAATTTGATGGATGTGGATATGGAAAGGATTTTGGAGGATTCAGTACCTTGTAGGATTCGTGCCAAGCGGGGTTGTGCTACACATCCTCGAAGTATTGCAGAGAGGGTAAGTCCAATTTTGTAGATACGTTGGTTAAATGTTATATTTCTGTTGATAACTATAAAGTGTTGCTCTATAATAATTCAAGCTAAGCATCAGTTTGTCACTTTTGTATTTGTTAGGTTCGGAGAACACGAATAAGTGACCGCATCAGAAAGCTTCAGGAGCTTGTGCCAAACATGGATAAGGTAGACATGGTCCTCATAAGCTTTAATGTAACAAGTTGAAGTTTCTAAAGGGAAGGGAGAAGGCTTTTTGGAAGTTTTTTTTTTTTTTTTCCTTTTGATTTTAACTTTAGATGGTCTCTTTTGGGAGGGGTTTGCTACAAATTAGCAATGCTTTAGCCATTTTCCTTTTCTGTATCAATTATAATGAAATTATGGTTCATCCATTGGTGCTTCTGTGGTTGGTTAAAGCATGACTAATCTTATTAAAACAATTTAAGAAAAAGTGAAAGTTTCTGTTTCTGTGTAGAAATTATGAAGATTGCAAAATTACATTACTAGAAATTTCTGAAATTGTAATCTTGATCAGCAGAATTGTTTCATAAGCTTTTATTGTTGGACTGTTGACATTATGTATATTTTAGTCTTTTGTGAAAGATGTCATCTCCTAATATTGGCAAAAAACGTTTTATGACTTCATTTATGGACTGCCTATTTTGAATGTTTCGAATTTTAAAAACTTTATCTTACACTTCTTTGATTACTCTAGTTTCTGGTTGTCACTTGCAGCAAACAAATACTGCAGATATGCTAGAAGAGGCAGTGGAATATGTTAAACATCTTCAAAGGCAGATTGAGGTACTTCTTTCATTAGTCTTGCTGAATACATTATCATATTGTTCTTAACAGGAATGCTGTGTTGATGAAAATCGAGAATATCTTAGCCTTGTTTTCTCTTCTCTTCCCTCCGTGTCCAGTATTCTGAAGTTTTTCATCATTTCCCTCACATCTGTTGGTATTTGTCAGAATGATTCAGTTTAACAGTAAAATGTACTGCTGTAGATCTAGAAAACTCATAGGCTGGAAAACTTGGATGTTGGCAGGAACTTAGAGAGCATCAAAGGAAATGCCAATGCAAAGCTAAAGGATTGGAAGAAGGTACCTAAAACTAAAAGTGCCTACCCACCACTCAATGTAATTATCGGATTTGTAGTCATCCAATCAGGTTCATTGTGGTTGCTTTATGATAAAGTTCTCCTGAAGATTCACATTTCAATCACAAGACTCACCATCTACTATGTTGCATCCTTCTTCAATATTGAAGTGATGGCTACTCATGAAGTTACTGATAAACATAGAGTTCATGATAAGGACTTCCAATTCAGTTTTGCTAGTTCTCTTCCTCAGAGGTGCTTGTTGTTTACCTGTACAATATTGTAGACAATAATATTTATCTCTTTAAGTGCTACTTTGCTAGTTTTTCTAATTAAGATATTTGTTTCCCTTGATTCTTGCTGTGTACCCCATTGTATCCTAGTCCTCCATTAACATTTTAAGTAGTTATTTGATCAATAAAAATCTCTGCTGGAGATTGAATGTTGTTATTATTGTTAGTTTTTAGGAATGTAATGTTACCATCTATGATATTGATTCTTGATAGCTTTTATTTAATTTGGTCATGGCTGAGAAAGAAGGTATCAGGTGAAATTTCTCGATTAGTTAGGTGAATTCCATACTTTGGCGTAGCAGCTGCACCTATCAATCTGTTTTATGTGTCTGTTTTGAGCATTTTTAAATTTTTCTCATTTGTTTTTTATTATTATTATGATTACTATTATTATTTTATCTTGGGTTGAACAATTAGAGGCAATTTTCTCCGAATAGTAGAACTACTTTTAACTAGATAGGAAAGAATTACTTTTGAGTGGTGTATAAATTGGTTTAGAAATCCTTTTTTGGCTGAAAAAAAAAGAAGAACTAAGATTACATTGAAAATGTGCTTGGTTTACTCAAATCATACTTTTTTTTTCTAGTGTACCGGAATTTGCCTTGGCATTACTTTTCTCACATTCTCATAACAATTTTCAAGAACTTCTGCATTTTGTAAATTTCGCTGATTGCTTTTTGGAGAGGAACTGCATGTTCATAATACGTAACATCTCTTGAACCTTTTCTTACCTTACTTACCTATTATGCGATTTGAATTTAAAATATTTTATTTTTAGTGGAGGATATGATCATTAAACTATTTAGGTCATTAGTTAATATGTAATTTTTTATATTAAAAAAATATTAATATAATTGCAAAACACATATTGATAATTTTATTTGATGAATGAATATTAAATATGAGTTTTATCTATATGAGAAATAAAATGTAAAAAGGAAACTATTAACAACGTTAATTGACGATAAATTTTAATAATATGAATCATTATTAATGTCATTTGTTTATTGTGAGATTTACAATGATAAAATCATTATTAATTTAAAAACCATCAATTCACCAAAAATTTAGTTAAAAAAAAAATATTGTAGGAGGGAGTATTATTAGTATTATTTTGGTTGGGTAAGAATGACTTTAACTTTATTAGAAATATATAAGGAAATTTCTTCTGAAAAAAGGAAATATAAGTAAAATTCAACAAATTTTCTTGTCAACCGGTAGAAAAAGTTTATGAATATATATGAAAAGACATAAATAATAATATTAATGAATTATGTGCATAGATAATTCATTAAAGATTTTTAAATGTTTTTATACATATATATTTTTTTACATTGGGATTGAAAAATATATATTTTTATTTATTTTTATATAATTTTTTAAATTTTATTATAAATTTATATTAACTATAAAAATTAATTTTTAATTTATTAATTATTTAATTAAACACATCTTTTTTTTTGTAGTAACTTTCTATTATTTAGTAATTACATTATATTTCGATTAATTTAAAATCTACTTATGTATGATCCTATTAGGGAAAGTTCTACCAAAACTTATTTTTTCATTCACAATACTCGAACTCGAAATCCGATATCTTATTTAAAAGAAATCGAATCCTTTTCATTCGAATCAATAAATTATTGATAACACATCTATTTATTTATAATATTAAATACATTTATCCATCTTTATTGTATCCAAAAATTGATCCATCTTTTTTTTTTTGGGTGAATTTCTAATATTATTTTCAATTGTATTGCTTTCTTAATTTGGTGTCACCTCTTTCTCCCAATTTTCCCATCGCTGCGCAAGGAAGTGCTCAATAACAGGGAAGTCGGCCGACCCCCACCGGAACTCCTTGTCGCTGTTGAACTCGACGCCTTCATTTGTGTTCTGTATGCTTCACCGGAAAAACAATATCGGCTTCAACTTTATTGCCCGGAGCAATGTTCCCGGAGAAATCAAAGCTCAGAGATTTCAATAACCTCTCAAATGCCATTGCTTTATCTAAGCTCCAGACTTCCAACAGTCTCTCCAGGAAATCATTCAGTGCTTTGGCTCAAGCTATGCCAACCCCACAACAGAATTACCCTCATAATTGTCTGCAATTCTCTTTCGACTCTGTTACTTACACGAAATTGATTCAACACTCTGTTAAGTCTGGGTCTCTCGTTCATGGCAAGCTGGCTCATGCTCGCATGATCAAAACTGCTTTCAAGCCTTGTCTCTTTCTGGTTAACAATCTTCTCAACATGTACTGCAAGAGCGGTGAAATGGGTCTTGCTCACCGAGTGTTTGATAAAATACCAAAACGGAATATCATCTCGTATAATTCATTAATGTCCGGGTACACCCAGATGGGTTTTTATGAGGAGGCCATAAATGTGTTTGCTGAAGCGAGAATGTCAGGTTTAAAACTGGATAAGTTCACTTATGCAAGTGGGCTAAGTGTGTGCTCTCAAACTGAGGATCTTGATTTGGGCAGGATGGTTCATGGGTTCGTTGTGGTAAGTGGATTGAGAGATAAGGTATTAACAAGTTCGCTGATTGATATGTACTGCAAGTGTGGAAGGGTTGACCAAGCAAGATATTTATTAGAGACTTCTAAGGAATTAGATAGTGCTTCCTGGAATTCCCTGATTGCAGGTTATGTTCATAGAAATGAAAGTGAAGAGGTGTTGAAACTCTTAATAAAAATGCATCAACTTGGAATGAGTTTGAATCCTTATACAATGGGAAGCACTCTAAAGGCATGCTGTATGAATTTTAATATTCCAGAGGCATGTGGACAAATGTTGCATGGTTGCGCAATCAAACTTGGGTGGGATTCAGATGTTGTTGTTGGGACTGCATTGCTTGATATGTATGCAAAGACTGGGGAACTGAATGATTCGATAAAAATTTTTGAACAAATGCCTAGTCATAATGTTGTCATGTATAATGCCATGATTTCTGGATTTATCCAAACAGAAAGTATTAGGGAAGAACAGGCAAATAAAGCCCTTAACCTTTTCTCTGTGCTGCTAGGGGAGGGACTGAAGCCCTCAAGGTTTACATTCTCAAGCATACTCAAAGCTTGTAGAGCCCTTGAAGCTTTTGAGTATGGAAAGCAAATCCATGCTCAAATCTGCAAGAACAACCTTCAGTCTGATGAGTTCATTGCAAATGCACTGATTGAGCTGTATTTGTTGCTGGGATCTACTGAGGATAGTTTGAAATGTTTTAGATTAACCCCCAAGCTAGACATTGTCTCATGGACATCCATGATTGCTGGTTATTTTCGAAATGGGCAATATGAGAGTGCATTGACACTGTTTCATGAGCTGCTGTCATCTGGACAAAGACCAGACGAGTTCATAATATCTAACATGTTAAGTTCATGCGTGGATCTAGCAGCTGTAAGATTAGGTGCACAGGTCCATGGATATAGTATTAAAAGTGGCATTGGAAGCTTCAGAATAGTTCAAAATGCACAGATTTGCATGTATGCAAAGTCTGGAGACTTAGATTCTGCTAATATAACATTTCAAGAGACAGAGAATCCAGATGTTGTATCTTGGTCTGTTATGATCTATAGCAGTGCACAACATGGATGTGCCAAGTATGCATTGAGGCTCTTTGAGTTGATGAAGGATTATGGGATTGCACCTAACCAGATTACTTTCATGGGAGTTTTGTCTGCTTGCAGTCATGGAGGGCTGGTTGAAGAAGGATTACGGTAACCAAGAAATCATTTTACTCTTTTATTTTGTTTTTATTTATTTGTGCACATGTTTGACACATATGTTTCTTGTTATGATTGTTAATATTTCTGGAGGGCATTTGATTATGGAACATTTGGATACTTGTATATTGATTAGCCCTTTTTAGCTGTTCTTCAACTTAGATTATTTCTTGGCTCTGGGCTTATCTTTGAAAGGGTCTAACATTTTGTGCAATGACAGATGCTTTGAAATGATGAAGGATCACAGTATGGAAATGAATGTTAAGCATTTTTGCTGCATTGTTGACCTCCTTGGTCGTGCTGGAAGGCTAGCAGATGCTAAAAACTTTATTCTGAAATCTGGCTTCGAGGACAACCCAGTAATGTGGCGATCATTGTTGAGTGCTTGCAGGGTCCACAAGGACATGGTCACTGGGAAACAAGTCGCAGAGAGAGTAATTGCGCTAGAACCTCAGGCTTCTGCATCCTATGTGCTTCTTTACAACATATATAGTGAAGCTGGACTAGAAGCCTTAGCTGCAAGAGTTAGAGAACAAATGATAGATCGAGGGGTTAAGAAGGAGCCGGGCCTAAGTTGGATTGAGGTCGGAAATAAATTTCATTATTTTATGGTGGGTGATAGATTTCATCCCATGAGCGAAATGATTTATGCAAAGTTGGAAGAATTATTAGAGAAGATAAAGAAAATAGGTTATGTCAATGAAAGGCTTGTTAGTGGTGAAACAGGACTTGGAGGCAACTCAGTGATAAACTACCACAGTGAAAAGTTAGCTGTGAGTTTTGGACTTATTAGCTTACCAACATTAGCTCCAGTTAGGGTAATGAAGAACTTGAGAGTCTGCCATGACTGTCACACAGCAATGAAGCTTTTATCCAAGGTGGAAGGGAGGGAAATAATCCTTAGGGATCCAATTCGTTTTCATCGGTTCAGGGAAGGCATTTGTTCTTGTAGTGATTACTGGTAGAAGTGGTTGCTGTGAGGTTAGATTTTATATGGTTGCTTCCTGCAACCTGAAATTGCTTTTCCACTGCTACAAGCCCAAAAGAGAATGAAAATTGACTTCAGTTGCACTGATTTGGGGAACAAGGGATGAAGTATTAAAGAGAAAAGCAACCATTTGAAATATGATAACTTCTATGAAGAAGCAGTTTCAACACCAAAGAATGTGTCACTATAAGCCAAATGACTTGAAAGTGATGTTTGTATCATGACCTCCATTATTTAGCTATCTTCACTGGAAATTTATATTTCATTCGAAATCAAGGTTGTCTCTCACCAGATTCTGTGTCTCAATAATTTTAGTTTCCCAGTTATCTGAAACTTCTCTTTTAATATGCTTATGGATCACACTCTTCCTCTCTATTAATTTACAGTGTGCAGGCATAAGAGCTTATAGAGCCCACTTGATGTTGACAATGCAAAAGTAGTGCCCCAGTGATGAGGAGAACAACAATTTTCCTATTAGAAGGTAACTTCTTGCTAATTTCTTTGATTAATATTTGTTTGTCTGTCAGCCAAAAAAAATATTGGTTTGTTTATTCACAATATGTTGGAAATGAAATGCATATCTGTTAAGTGGTGGTTTAGTTGTTGAGAAATCTGGGAAGAATATAGTATCAGGACCAGCTGTTCATTCTATGGCATTGGGTATGTCAGAAAAAAGATGAGAGATTACAGTACTTATATGCTAGTTATTTGTTATGGTGATGGGATAGGACATTTTGGAGTAACAACCACTGCTGATGATAGGATGATCAACATACTGAAGAATAAAGGTGGTTATCAGTGTTTACAGTTAGCCCTTATGGTCAAGCTGTATCTGTCAATTAGGTGACAGTAATCATTAACAAATCACTAGTGACAATTTCTAGTAATTGATGATGGGCATTTTCGATCTTCTATCTCTATCTCTATCAGGTTTGACAGCAGTCCTTTTATATGGAGCAATCAGTAAACAGTGATTAGAAAGTAATATAGTTGGTCAACAAATAGTGATAGTTTAAACTAATTTCAAAATTTGATTTTGCTTCTGAAGCAAAACAACTCTATTCTTTGAATCAAAGCTTTAGCTTTCTGTTTATTAGGAGAATACTTTGTGCTAATTTGTTCTTTCACAGTAATGGACATACATAACAAAGTAAAGAATTTCATTTTTCTTTTCTTTTCCCATAACATTGTCTTTGAAATAAATTGAGTGTCATAGATATAAACATTTAAGCATTTACCTGTTTGTTCTTCTCAATTGTATTGCTTTATCTATCTAGTCAAGCAATATGGTGATATGATATAGGATAGATGTGGAATTTCTGCAAAGTGGAAGAGTAAATCTATGCTCATTTTAAAATAAAAATAAAATTCATCCTACCGATATAAAAGCTAGGACCTGGATCTCAAATACTAAAAATGATCTTTCCTTAGTTGTCACTTCTAATTATATGCCATAATTTCGTTAATAAGAAAGCTAAGATCGATAAGAGTCTTATGATTTAGGATTAGCAAATATAGACAGCTTGTTTTAGAATGAGCCGTTTGGACGCTGTCTCCAATCATCATTTGACACGCGTCTTGTTAGTGAGAAATCCATGAGTTGTTCAGTAACAGGGGTAGACTATTATGGTATTTGACCATATATGCTAATAATCTGTATATACATCTCTTAAACTTTTCTCTAAGGGTGCAATCCCTTCTTCCACATTCTCAACCATGGGTAGGAAGAAGGTCAAGCATGAATTGATTCCTAATGAATCTATCCGGAAAGTGACTTTCAGGAAAAGAAAGGCTGGTATGCTGAAGAAGCTAAGTGAGCTTACAACTTTATGTGGGGTTCCTGCTTGTGCTGTTGTTTTCGGTACTTACGATACTCAACCAGATATCTGGCCTTCCCCTCAGGAGGCGTGCAACTTGCTTGAGCGGTTGAAGAATCTGTCTCCAAAGAAACAAGGTAAGTATATGCTGGACCAAAAGGTTTTTCTTAGAAGTAACATATGCAAGTTGGAAGAAAAACTGGAAAAACAGAGAAAGAAAAACCAAGAGCTAGAGATTGAGCTGACTTTGGCAGGTTCCTTGCCAATTGAAAATGAATGTAATTGGAATAACGTGGGGCATCTGGAAGAGATGCTTGGTCTTTTGAAGGACAGGATTAAGTCTGTTACCAGTAAGATTGAGGACACAAAGGCATCTCAAATCTAAGCAAGTTGTTGTTTGATTATGAGAAGAAAATAAATTAGAGTATTTCTCTGAATAGACATCTTTCCTGAAACAATGGAAGTTTCATTTAGTTTTTCTTTATTTTGGCAATTGATTTGATCATGTTTGGCTCAGATCTGTGATCTGAATATACTTTCACCTGATTGTTGAATAATTATAATTTTCCTCTATTGTTTTACATGAATAAATGATTTTCATTTATGATGGTCTCAACATTGTTGTCCAGCAGCTGATCGAAAAAAAATAAAAGCCATTGTTGTGTAGCATTTGGATAGTTTCAACATCCCCATTCCGTTATTATGCTGTTCCTTCTTCATGTCATTAATTGTTTGACACTGCATTATTTTGGGGTTTTAATTGTTTGATCTTATGAATTGTCCTAGATCTGATATCATTATTGTTTGACGTTAGTATATACTTATTGTTCACATGAATTGCTGTTGTTATCAATTAACTTGGATTGCTTTCCTTATAATTGTGAATCTATGTCTTCAAGTTACCTATAGATATGAATGTTGCAGAAATAAGTTAGCTTCTCATGACTGTACTAGCCTTAGTCCAGAATAATTTTTAGTAGACAATTCCACATTGCCTCTGCATTTCCAACACTTAAATTCTGTTTCAAACCACGTTTACAAAACATCTCACTGAAATCATCCTAAGAGTTTTACAAGACAAAGTGTTCTAGAGCTGAGTCTTAGATACTACAACAACACTTAGCATTGAAAGCATTGGTGATTTCAACAGGCTACGCCTAGGCGCTAGCCTAGATATACCAGATGCCAGGTGAGAGCCATTAGAGCCAGTACATTAAGAAAGGATGAGTTTGTATTAAGCCTCTTTAGCCTTTCTCTCAGTTCAGCCATCCTTGATCTCAGTGCTTCCTGCTCTGCACTAGCAGCTACTGCTGGTGATGGTGCTTCAGTGGTGGCAGTTTTGGCTGTTGCATGCGGCTTCTCAACCACCCTTTTTGGCTCAGAGGCAGAGCTCTCTCTTCCTCTGCCTTCCTCCTTCTCCAATCTCATCCTTTCAAACATAGCCTGCATAGGAACAGAACATGTTAAGAGTTCAACATCAGTATGTAGAACCATTTTGGGCATATGGAGTTAAGGTACCTTAGTGGCTCTAGGCTCCAGATACAGGGCATTGAACAAAACCATCAAAAGTGATGACAGAAGATTATAAGCCTGAAACATCTCTGCTTTTCTTGAAAAAACTCAGCTTCTTTGCCCCAAAATATGGCCCAATAGAGCCAAACCAATACCACTAGCCATTACCCTGAAATAAACAGGGGTAAGTCTTGCTCTGTACCAGAGCAAACTGTTGCCTCGGAAGCAGTTCAGCCAACACATAGCTGGAGGCAAAAGTAACCCACATACCCGTTCCATAAGCCGTAGCAAATCCGAGCAGATTTGCTATACCCATCAATGAATCCAACATTACCATGTTCCTCACTAGATCAAGGATCTTGTTTGCACCAGTTTTAGCCCTCTTTGTAGCATGCTCTGTTGTTTCTTTTGCTTCCTTTGCCATCTCTGCTGCATTCTGGCGGACATCCTCTATTTTCTCAGACACATTCAAGGCTATATGACTCCCAATTGTCGTCCCCGTTTCCTTGGCCATATCAATGGCTTCCTTCCCCGCCTCCATGGTTTGCTTCCCTGTCTCCTTGGCTTTACCAATGGCTTCCTTGGTTCCTTCTTTGACATCTTTCGTCTTCTCTTTCACCGTCTCCTTAGCTTTATGTGCCATATGTCTCTTCATTGCAACATCTTCGTGCACCTTCTCCGCAATCTTCTCCTTGGCCTCTTCTGCAGTCTCCGAAACCTTGTCCGTAGCTTTTCCGATTGCATCAGCAAAGCTTGTGTCTGCATTTCCCGAATGCATCACATATCAGCTCACTGGCGGTGTGTCTCCCCCCACCACCACCAGAGGTTTTTCCGTCGGGGGAAATCCCTTGGCCGAGATTCGGAAGCACAGAGGAGGCTTCTTTTATCATCATGTCCTTGGTGCTGTCAATGAAGCCATCATGCTGCTTGTTTGGCGGAGAGAATGAGACTTTGGTGTTGTGTTGGCCATCTTCGTCGTACGTCTCCACGATGATGATCCTGTTGTGATCTTCTCTAACAATAACATCTTCCCCTTCTAGCTTCTTCTCCGGTAACGGCGACCAAACTCCAGCCACCACCAGAGAACCGAGAACGAGAGACAAAGCCAAAAGATTCATCATTTTTGTTTATCTTCTTTGTTCTTAACAGAAACAGAACAATACTAATAAATTATTAATTGGAGCGGAAGAAACTCGTTTTCTTTATATTAAATCTCAAATTCAGAAACAAATGCTAAATTTTTTTTTTATTAATATTTAACGTAATTTGATTTTTAATAATATTTCATATGATTTAATTTTAAATTAATTATATACAGAATAAGAAAAGGTTAATAAAAAGAAAGAAAAAAAAAAGCAGAGCAATATATAAAAAGGAAGAGCACAGAGGAAGATGAAGGAGGCTTGCCACGTGGAATGCACACATTGAATAATTTGACACGTTTGCATTTTATGACGCGACGTGGCCTTCCACGTGGCTGTATATTGCGTGTGTTTCTGTGTTAAACCATTTTTTGCACGAGTGTAAAAGTATTGAGAAATTAATCCTTTATTTGATTCCAACAACTTCATACAAAAATATGTTTTAGTGGAACAAGCTTTAACAGCGTAATGCTTCAGTATCAAACTAAACTCTTTAAGTTTGTTTTGTTTAATGAGATTTAAACTCTTCCCTTCTGTTTGGTTTGTGTGAAATAAAGAGACGAGGATAATATTCTTTCCCTTATTTTTTATTTTTTTTGAATGTTAGAAGTAGGACGGATCTTATATATTAGGTTTGTGAATAATTTCTATTCACTTTAATTTTTAAAAATTATAAAAAAATTTATTTTAAAATTATATTATTTTAATAATTTTTTATTAAAAAAATTAAAATATTTTATTTTTAAAATATAAATTAAAGTATTTTTTTTATCATTTCTTGTAATATATATTTTTTTCATATTAGTTTCATAATGAAAAGTAACATTCTTTTATTGTTTATCTTATTTTATTTTCATATCATATGATTTATACTCAAAATTTTTTATTTTCTTTTTAAGTCATTGACTTCTTAAAGTATTTCATTAAAATTACATAATATTAAAATAATTGTTTTATTAATCTTTAAAAAATAAGAGAAATAAACAACAACCTCTTTGAGTTTTAACACGAAAGATTCTTTATAAAAACGAGATACTTCCCGGATCTCAAGGATATTCTTTTCCCTTATTTGGTTATACTAAAATTATAAAAAGAAATAAAAGAAAGCTGTTTCCTTCCTTCTCTCCTCTCATCTCAAAATTTTTAGTCCAAATAGAAAACTTTGTCCCCTTGTATTGTCCTCGTACCGAAGACAATAAATCAATTGTAACTTATTTCCTCTTTAATATTACCCGTGTTCAAAAACTAGGCAAAAACTACATGTGCCTAAAATTGTTAATACAATAAAAACAATATAATTATAATGCTATATGTTTATAAAAAAATAATTGTAATATTATTAATATTATAAATGTATACTAATAAAATATTATCATATAATTAATTTGTTATTTAAAAAATTACTTATAATATTATATATTTATTTATTTAATAATGTAAATAATATATAAAAATTATATAAAAAATTATTCTTATATTACCACCC